CTTCAAAAAAGTGCTCAAGAAATGCAATTAATTGAAGACGGCGAATGTTTCTCATTTGTAACTGCAAACAAAAAGGGGAAAAAAGCACTTCAAAAACGTGCTTGGACGGTTTTGATATAGGGCGTCTTCAACGTTATATAATGGATTGTCGTACAACACAAAAACAAGTGCCAACTGTGAAACGCATACACAGAATATTTGCAGAGGAGTACAACTACTCAGGTTCCATACGCCTACGAAAAGTAATTAGAAAGATGGGGAAAACCAGAACTAATAGAAAATTATTAATGGAAAAGCCCAATATTCAACATCTTAGACTGAATTTCTTACGTAGTATGAAACGTTACAGGAACGCAAATCACCCAATTATATACATAGATGAAACATACGTCCATTCATCTCATGCCTGCCAAAAGAGCTGGTCTGATAGTTTAAACAAGGGCCTACAAAAACCAGTATCTAAAGAACATATGCTTAAGATAGTGCATGCTGGAGGTGAAAGTAGTTTTGTTAAAACCTTATCTGCGCTACAAACCTACTATAAAAACAGGAGATTATCATGATGCAATGAACTACATAATTACAAAAAGTAGCTTCAGGATAAGCTGATACCAAATTTGACCCCGAACAGTGTTTTAGGGATTGATAATGCACCATATCACCACATATAAACTGAGAAATGTCCAACTATGTCTTCCAGAAAAGCAGAAATGCAGCAGTGACTGATAACTTGAAATATTTCGTTTACAGACGACATGTTGTTTAAAACATATGAAGTTGACAAAAGATGGATAAAGTTTTACAGTTACCCCCGTAACATCCGGATTTGAATCCTATAGAGTTAGTATGGGCTTCTATGAAGCAATATGTAGCTGAAAAATATGTCATCAAATTTTAAATTAGTGAAAAGTTTGTATGATAAATTTTTTAATTCGTTTTCAGTCGAACAATGGAAAAAGAGGTGTGAACATGTTAAAAAATATATAACAAGTTATATGGCACAACCTCCAGCTTTTGACACAGTGGTGGATCAAATAACCATAAATGTAGGTGTCGATAGTGACAGTGATTCTGAAAATGATGAGATGGACTCTGATTCTGAGTCAGATGATTCAGAAATATGAACCTGAGACACTCATGTTGCATTTCATCAGAAACTGTTATAATAAGTCCCTTTGAGACTATAGTATAAATAAGTATATTTCAACAGTCATGTCCTTTCAGACCTTTAGTTATTTTGGACAAATAATTTAACTGCAAACTGCTACTTCAGAAGTGTTCACTTGGAGCTGTTTAATTGTTTGCGAAATAATTCAGTTTCAGACTTTTCTTTATTTCCAACAAATGATAACTTAACAGCAAAGTACCGAATTTCATCACTTGTTATTTGCGAGATCATTTCAAAGTCGTGAAACTTTACATGTATCTCCAGCAAATTTCTAAGTATTGAAATTTCTTCGTTGACGAAGTCTTGAAGTTCTATGAATTGGAATAGATGAGAAGTAAAAATGCAGTTTCGTTGAAATCGGCTACTCAGCCAAAATAGGTCTTGCTTGTTAAGATTAAGAACTAGCCTGTTCTCCGACTGAAGGATACATTGCTTTAATGCATTTCTAATTGCATGTGTGCAGCGATCTTCATCAGATCACAATCAAAGAAATCTCTGATGAGGTTAGCATATCAATTGGTTCATGACATGACATTTTTTTAACCGTTTTGGGTATGAAACGCTTGTGCTAGCGAAATGTATTCCAAAATTGTTGAATTTTGAACAAAAACAGCGGGGAATGGAAGTTGCCGGAAAGTGAATTTTTGGTTAAAAACAATACTGTAATTATGCCCCAGCCTCCGTACTCTCCAGACACGGCTCTGTGTAATTTTTCCTATTAAAGAAAACTTTAAAGGGCCGTCGTTTTGCAAACATAGATGGCATTAAAAGTGTATCGCTACTAGAACTAAAGACTATTCCAAAGATCGAGTTTGAGAAGTGTTTCAAGGATTTGCAGAAGCGTTAGTACAAGTGCATAATATCGGATGGAAATGACTACTTTGATTGAGACAACTTTAATGTTGATGAATATTTTTTTCAAAAAAACGAAAATTCCAGGTATTTTTTGAACACACCTTGTAGTTTATCAATCAATTACATTATTATTTTATTGCTTTATATTTCTGATTAATATTTTATGTACTTCTCACTCATAAATATATTTACATAATTATTTATAGTTCAGTCATCAGAGATTTCACCTTTAAAAATATGAACAAGCTAAATTTTGCTGGTAATATCAATTTTGGGACTCCAAAATGATCCTATCCACGACTCCTTAAAACGCCCCCTTGTAGGGCGGGGATGGAAAAAATCAATTTACCAAGAATCTGTACATCTGTAAATTTGCTGATCAAGGAGAAAGATAGGCCAAGCACTCTGCTACAGTATAGGTCTCAATGTTAATTAGATGTTGAAAAACCTTTCTTTTAAAAGAGCTATAGGGTTTCCCATTGAATGTCAGATGGAGGACTATTGTAGAATATAACAAACTCATACAAAGGACTACTATCTGTGAAGTGAGAAATTTAAATTAATTCTTCTTGTATTATATTGATCGTTTGGAAACAGGTGATAAAACAAAGTAAAATTTTTAAAGACGACCATAATACATTTAAATATATAGATGAGGCTGAGAAAGTGAGTATATTGAGTGATTTGAATTTGCCTCTACAGGAATCCCGCCTTTAATCCAAAGATCACCTGGACTGCCTTTTTTGGACAATAAAGACAGTTGAGCTATCCACTGCAGCACCCCAGATTATTCCATATCGCATAACAGAATAAAAGAGTGCATAATATACTGATAGTAATATCCCCTCATCTAGATAGTTCTTCAATACTCTCAATGAGTAGCAGGCTCTATTTAGTTATTGTTGTATTTTGTATTTATTCCCCCCAATTCAGGTTTTTGTCAATATAAAGACCAAGAAATTTAACTGATCTAGCAGGTTCTGTGTTTTGTGATAGAAAATTGACTCCTGGGAACTGTTCTCAGAACAGCACATTTGAGTCATCATCAAAATTTATAATGTTTGAGGAACCACCAACCACTGCATTTGTAAGGTCATTTATATAGAACAAAATGAGAAAAAGCCCTAAGATGCTCCCCTTTGGTATGACTAATTTTAAGTTGATTGTTTCAGAGTAAACCTTACATTACTGTTTCTCCAAGCATAATTTTTGTGACCTATCTGTGAAAAATGATTTTAACCTTTTTACTGCTGGTCCCTGTATTCCATAAAGATGTAATTTTTGTAATAAGAGAACATGATCTATGCTATTGAAAGCCTTAGATAGGTCAAAAAAGCACCTAATGTTTTCATCTTTGCCTCTAGTTTTTCTAAAAATTTTGATATAAACTCATAGGTAGCTGTCTGAACAGATCTCCTCGCGAGAAAACCATGCTGCCAACTACTAAATAAGTTGTTTGTAGTAAAAAATTTTGCAGTTTGGAATATTGCTTTTTTGAATATTTTTGAGAATGATGGAATGAAGCTTATTGGTCTATAATTCTTCCCCTTAGTAACATCACCTTTTTATGTATTGGCTTGACAATTGCCAGTTTTAAACTTTGACGAAATTTACCTTGCCAGAAAGAAGAATATAAAAGAAAGAGGAAGAAAAATCTCTGATGAATCAAATTTAATTAAGCATAAGTATATATTCAATACAAACTTTACAACTTAATATGTACAGATGAAAATCAAAATACTTGTATTTCTATGTACCAACAAAATTAATTGTGTTTAAGTTAAAAATAATTTGTGCAAACACCAGTAAGGCAATATAATTAGCATTGACATATTTGTTTAATAAATAGTAAACATATCACATCATGTGATCAAAAATTGTATTAAGCATATCTTTATTATTTATTCTGTATTATTTATATATTCTATATTATTTATGACTAGAAAAATTTGATTTTGTGATTATTCCGATATATGTTATGAATTAATGTAAACAGTAGGTACAAAGAGAACCTGAGATTAATATAAAACCAACTTTGTCTTGTCAAAGCAAAAAAAGGGCACAAAAGTGTACTTGACATCATTTGCTCTTTTTAACAATGAATAGAAAGCTCAAAGTGTATTTATTTTCATGCAAAACATTATAAATTAGGCATTTCGCCAATCTGTAAATATATGGAATATGATCCACTTACCTACTGATACTTTTGAATAGGATGTTCCTTCATGAACACTTTCAATTACCTGGTTCTCACTTTTGTTAAGATTTAACAATACAATACAAATATATTACGAAAATTTTAGTTATCTTAATAAAACCTATCACAGTAAATTACGGGTCAGAAATAACTGTGATGACACTACACTTTTTGTTATTTTCTCTACACACACAACATTCAATATGGCGGAAACATCACTTTGAAGTATAAATGACATCAGAACTACTCTTAACCAAAATATGTGTCTCCAAATTCAATGTAATATTATTGATAGAAATGTAGACTCTATTTGTTCATAAACAAAGGCAATTCCACATTTAAATTCATTACGTATCTTCCTTTTCATTTGCTATTTAATTTTCCTGTATTTTTATTTATAGAGTAATAATTTGACAATGTTAATAAGAGATGGTTATTGGTATTGGTGTGTGACAAAAAGAAACGCAACTACTACTCATCTTTAGTTGTCTTGTTTTGTTTGACTAATTTTATGTACTTCTGTATTTTTTAGTGCAGAAAAGTAATTAGCCTTCTATGTATAAACTATTCAGTTATCTTTAGTCACTAGTCTGAATGTTTTTTTCCAATTTGTTAATTTAAATGAATGTATCTTATGAATGTGCTTTAAATTGAAGTATAACACTTATTTTGTAGAAAATATCCTTATTTTCGAGTTGCTTTTACCTTTCTTCCTCTAAGTGCGAAAAAATGTGAAAAAAGTAGTAGTTCAAATAACCTATGAAAAGAAATACATTAGAGTTTATAACCTTCCAGCTGTATTGTCAAAAATATCATTTTAAGGAATTTCAAGAATAAAAAGAAATGTAAAAAATGTCTGTGCGGTATTTAACAAAAGCAATTAGATCAGTTACTTGTAATCTGGCAAGAGGAAATTTTTATACTCCCTTATGCTGTCACAATTTAACAACTTTTACCTCAGGCATAAATTCCAGTGGAATTGGTGTTGGAGAAAAGCCTAAGAAAAAGAAAACTGTGGAAATACCTAGTATAACTTTAATACAAGGCAATCATTTGTCTGTTACTACTTTGGATGAAGCACAAAAATTATCGAAGAGAAGAGATTTAAAACTTGTAAAGATAGTTGATCTGGATACGAAAACACAAAGACCTGTATACAAATTAATGACAGGTATTTGATATATCTTTGTATTTACATTGTTTTATATTTACACTAATTTGGGGCAATGGCATTAAAACAGTTTGCATGTCTAGTTGATTTAGCTCTATAATTTCTATAGATATAAAGACATAAAAAGTTTCTGAAACTGTTTTGTTGTAGCCACATTTTCAAATAACTACCTTAGAGCAGAGTTTGAACTGTGAATAATTTTCTATACAGATTATTATTACTGTTGATTACATTCAGTACAGTCCAAAAATTGTACATAAAAACTATAATTGTTTAATTTCAGGTGCAGAATATCATGCTGAAGACTTAAAACAGCGCTTACAGAAAAAAGAAGAGAAGCAGGGATCTATTAAAGGTGAAAAAGTTTTAATTCTGAATCATAACATCTATGAACAGGACTTGCAAACCCAAATAAAGAAAATTGGTAAATGGATAAACAAAATGTATGAAGTTAGAGTTGTGATCAATGGAGACAGTAGTAACATGGAAAAAGCAGAGGTTGTTTATAGTGCTATAGAGAAATCTTTGGAGAAAGATGTAAAGATTGTGCAGAAGAGGCAGAAAGGATCTGATATCAAGTTTCAGTTATTACCTCCTAAAAAAAATAAAGATGATTCTAAGGGTTTATGACTAGAAAGGGTTAAAATAATATGTATAGTTATTTTTATTTTTATTGTTAAATATTATGTGTATTTTACATATTTTAAAAATAAAAGGAAATAAGTTTTGCATAGTTTTTATTAATTATTTTATACATTTTTTAAGTAGATAGTATTTGTTTACATTATAAGTCCTGATATAATAATAACTAAAATATATGTCTATGTACATGATTTAATAATATGTACAATAGTACAAGTGCCACGTGCCAAAATTTGAGGACTAGTTTACAAATTAGAGTAGTTTAAATGAAGTTCAACTCTAGTAGCTCAAATTAAACATACAAAATATGCCATGTGAGCTTGGTGCAAAACTTGCACAGTTAAGGTCTGCTGTTTTGTTTATAGATATGGATAAAACACTTTTGTATAACTTTTCAAGTAAAATCTTATCAGAGTTACTGGATAGTGAGTTTTATGCCAAAATAGTTATATCTCTGTCCAAGAAAAGTTGGATTTGTGTGTTATTATAACCAAATTATTTATCTTTTAGCAAATTTCTCGACAAATGTAAGTCTATTAATTAATACAAGTGAAGTTCTTTGGTAATCCATAAATTTTATTGTGCCTATATTTTGCCCTTTTAATAATGCTAAACCAAACTCAACATAAACAGGTAAATTTATTTGGTAAAATAATTTTTTGTTAAAATATTTGAAGACAGCAATATTCTCGGCATTTTCTTTATTATATTTAATATTACATTTTAACCTACCTTCGCAAGAAATTGCCCAAGGCGCTTTTTGATATAATTATTTTTACTTTTTTTGTTGAATAATGTTGACACTTACTAATTTTTTCTTTAGTATGATTTTTATGCTATAGCTGTGGGTTACTTCTAAATAGTAGTTAAACCTCCTTCGTCATGATTTTTTGGTACTATATCAGCTTTCTTTTTAATCTGAGACTTTAAAATGTCTTTGTAGGTATTTTCCTTAGACAAGGAAAGAGAGGGGACACATAATCGCATGGAATTGACTGAAGCCTAAATTGGCACCAAAAAAGTTGCCAGGTCATATTTGATTTCTTCAGAAGATTGAGGATAATGGATATATATCAATAAATAGATTTTTTTTAAATTTATAATTGAACACTGACATAATGATTACTTTTTGAACATGATTTTATCATTACATATTTTTTAGTAGATCGATATAGTGTTTCAGTAAATTGAACTCGAAATCAGTAGATCTACTGAAAAATCAGTAAACCTGGTAACTGTGCGAGAGGTATTAATGGGCAACATACAGTCACAAAACATAGTGCTCACATCGAAACTGACTTCACTTTTCGAAGGTTTACTAAATGAGTGTTACCTGTCCTCTCTCTTTTCTTGTCTAAGGTATTTTCATCATCGCCAGTATCTTTATTAGAAGATTATAATACGAGATAAGTATTTGGGTTATAAATATTTCAAATTTTTAAATGCTGAGTTGGTAACTTCACATTATAATTACTTTTATGAAAGCAGATAATCTTGATTAATTACCGATATTTTTGGTAAAAGTATAAAAGAAATAAGTAGTTTGCTAGATGATAAACTTAGTTTTAAAAAGAGTTCTCAGATGTGTTGACTCCATTTTTATTGAAATCTTAAATTCTTCCAGGTCTAAAAAAACATTTATATAAGATTTAATGAGAACACAACACATTCCTTGTTAAAAAGATTTTGTAAAAAATGTATATATACTTTATACTACAGTCTATTCTGTGCTACAGTCGTTCAGTAGTCAGTGATTAAAATGCCACTGAACCTCTAAAAATCATATTAACGAGCTGAATTTTGCTAAAAATGTCAATTTTGGGAACCCAAAAAATATAGATTTTATCCCCCGCTTTCCCCTAAAATCCCCCCCTCGAAGGGGGAAACACCGAAAAAATCAATTTATTAAGAATCTGTATGCCATAGAAAAAATGTTTCAAATAAAAAATTAAGCTGAGATAATATTGAAAGGCGAAGAGTGAGCTGTCCTATGTAATTTTTGTATTTTGTCCTAAATAAAGTCAGTTTTTATAAAGTTTGTCATTTTCATTGACGAGGTCACTATGGAATTTCCATTCTTAGAGCTTATTATTCAAAACCTATAGTATGAAATTTTGGTTTTTTAGTTTTGGCAACAAATGTGTGACATTTGAAATATGGCTAAAAACACTGAATGTCACATTAGAAATGATCTAAAATTTTTGAAACAGCTTATTTTAAATTACACAAGTATGTTTTTTGAAACTACACAACCTCCGCTACAAATTATACCCAATATTGTCTTCATTGAGGCATTATTCATGACATGAAATCATTTTTGTAACATAAAAGTGTAAATTCTGCATGTTAGCCATATTTTAAATGCCCCATATTTGTTGCCAAAACTCAAAATTGAAATTTCATGTTATAGATTTTGAAGTCTAGGCTCTAATAATGAAAATTCCACTAAAATGGTTTAATGAAACTGTAAATGTTATTGATCTCTTAAAGAATGGTTAAAAAATTTCAAGAATCAAGCAGTGTTTATTTATTGAACAGATAAAATACACATTTTGATTTTTGTCAACAGGACACTCTGATCAAAAGATATCGAATTTTTATCTTCAAGTTATAGCACAAGTAGTATATACCAATAAAAAACAACTCTACTAGAGCCTTTCATGTAACCCTCTGTGCATAATAGAATAAAACAAGCCTTTCAATAAATATTTAATTTTTTTAATTAAAATGTATGATTTTATAAACATTTTCCACAGCATTTGTTTAATCCATCAGCATCTGGCTTATGGTTGGGAGTCCATGGTCCTAAACTGGCACTGGCATAGAAGTCCATTGGATAACTAGCTTCTGCTTTGTGCCACTTTGCATCGCCTATAACAATGGCTGCTTCGTAGGGTGTAATAACAGGTTTGTCAAAAAATTTTCCCCAGTCAATTGACAATCTAGGACAAGCTATCTGCACAAAGGCATCAATGTTCTTAAATAATTTTATTTTGCTGGGAAATATTTCAGAAAGTAGGATCACCACAGTCTTCTTATTTACTTCTTCTAATCTCTTTCTTAAATGTTCAACAACATTAGGATTACCTGAAATCCAAAAAGTATTTGTCAATAATTTTTTTTTGGTTATCATTAAAACAAAAATTACATTCAAAAGTTGACTATGAGTAGCACAAACTATGTAGATGGTCAATGTAAAAGGTTGGACAATGTCTCTTAACAATATAAAAAGAATGTTTTATATCCACAAAAGTGAGTATTCAGACGTGAAAAAAAAATTACATGGTAACTGTTTCAATTAAGAGAAGAATATAATGTGCATTTCACATCAGCCACACAGTCTGGTCTATGCCTGGTGAATTTAACATGTAGGAAGTGGGCATGAGAGGCAACATATGTCCATCAGTAAAAGATCATGTATGTCCTATGAAATAATCTTAGTAGGTGCCTTTGCAACTAGTAACAAAATCTGGTAGAAGACTCAACTACTATAACTACTCCTCAGACCACAATTCACAAAAAAATTATTCAATATTTGTAAATATTCTATAACCAAGGAAAACATATTACTGAGATAGATAACACATAAAGATTTTTCTTTATCAGCACCAATAAATGCATTTTTGGCCAATATTTCACATTAATTATTAACCTACCTTGCCTGCCCAAAGTTCCCATGATTACACCAAAAGTTCCTGCATTGGTTGCGTCCTGTATACTACTCTGCCTGATTTTTTCCATCTCACTGTGGCTATAATATTCTCTAGTAAATTCTTTGGAGTATGGATCATATTTGTAAGCTTGGACTTTTGGATTGGCAATCATGGCTGCCTCCAGATGAAACCTTCCATCACCTATGTATATAAGAACTTCAGCACATTTCAAAACTGGAGCTGTACAACCAAGAATTTCTCCTGGAGATAAAGGCTTGAACTGTGGAATTGAGACATCATATTCCATTTCTTTTAGTCTTGTAGCTGCTGCTTGAATGGTGGTTACAAACTGTATAGTACTTACTAAGCCTATTTTAGTGCTTTTTTTAAAGTTTAATTTAACAGTTTCAATAAAATGCAAGGGGTCTATTTTTATATCTACGAACACATACAAGACTTTTATACCACATGTTTGGTTAGCAGGAACTAAACAACTATGACCATAATGAACTAGTAATTCAACTCCTAAAGCTTTAGCAGTGAGGTCATCTATACAGCAAGCTCCATATGTTACATCTCCCATTATAATAGAATCAGCTCCAGAAAACTCTTTTATTATATCTGCTATGGTCGTGGAAAATAATAAAAGACCTTCTGGCATTTGTAAAGCAACAGTCTTGGCTTTTAATTCCTGAATTCGCCATATCGTTTTGGGAATTTCAAAGTTATAGTTTTTAGGCAAACCTTCAATAGCAGATTGAAGTTTAGGATTGTTCAACAATGATTGTGGAATTTTTGTAACTTTCGTAGCCTTAAATACTTTCCTTTCTGGCTTGGCTTTTACTACAACGGCAGTTTCTGACATTCTTAATAAATATCACTAGAAATACAATTACTGAGACTCATACAAAATATAAAACAATATTTTCAAAACACAGCATTCATACACTTTTAGGTTAGATTTAAAGGTCTACGTGAGTAGTTCATTTGTCCGATGTCTCCTGATAACAAGTTTTAGAGATTTTTTGCAATTATTTTGTGACGTCATTAGAGTTATATTTAGCACAGAATAAGAAAGCTTATCTTATGATATTTGTTCTGTGTCTAAACAAACTCTAAATCCAACCTAAAAGTGTATGGTGTATGAATGCTGTGTTTTGAAAATATGTTTTATATTTTGTATCAGTCTCAGTAATTGTACTTCTAGTGATATTAATTAAGAATGTCAGAAACTGCCGTTGTGGTAAAAGCCAAGCCAGAAAGGAAAGTATTTAAGGCTACGAAAATTCCACAATCATTGTTGAACAATCCTAAACTTCAATCTGCTATTGAAGGTTTGCCTAAAAACTTTGAAATTCCCAAAACGATATGGAGAATTCAGGAATTAAAAGCCAAGACTGTTGCTTTACAAATGCCAGAAGGTCTTTTATTATTTTCCACGACCATGGCAGATATAATAAAAGAGTTTTCTGGAGCTGATTCTATTATAATGGGAGATGTAACATATGGAGCTTGCTGTATAGATGACCTCACTGCTAAAGCTTTAGGAGTTGAATTACTAGTTCATTATGGTCATAGTTGTTTAGTTCCTGCTAACCAAACATGTGGTATAAAAGTCTTGTATGTGTTCGTAGATATAAAAATAGACCCCTTGCATTTTATTGAAACTGTTAAATTAAACTTTAAGAAAAGCACTAAAATAGGCTTAGTACATACTATACAGTTTGTAACCACCGTTCAAGCAGCAGCTACAAGGACAACAATATGGAATTTCAAGATTTAGAGTAGGTAAAATTTTGAAAAGAAATGGATACCGTCCCTATAAACTTCATAAATCCAACGAACAATTCCCTGGGGATCAATATAGACGTTTAGAATTTTGTTAAACTGCAATGGAAATGTCACATCAAGATGAACATTTTTTAGAGAACATTTTGTTCACCGATGAATGTGCGTTTTCATTGCATGGCCGTCACAATTCAATGAATGCTCGGTATTCGTCTCAAGGAAATCCTCGTCAGATTTATGTGTTTCGTACCCAGTATCCTCGAAAAGTAAATGTTTGGGGAGGCATAATAGGGAATCATGTCATTGGTTCATTTTTTATAGGCGGTATGTTGACTGGGCGGAAATACTTGGAACTTATGCAAAATCAAATTGTCCCAGCCCTTCGTAATTTACCAATACCTTTCGATTCTATATGGTTTCAACACGATGGTTGTCCTGCACATAATTCTCGCGTCGTCAGTGAATATCTCAGTGCGACTTTTCCTAATCGATTGATTAGTGGCCACAGAGATATTTTTGGCCTGCAAGATCACCTGATCTTGCACCTTGTGATTTTTTATGTGGGGATATATCAAGTCCAAACTATATGGAATTGACGACGATAGGCCTAATTCTCTCCAAGAATTAAGAGAAAAGATCTCTAATTCAATGAGAGGTATTAGTCCAGAAACATTAACTAATGTTAGACAAAACTTTTATAATAGATTGGGTTATTGTTCTGCTGCTAATGGAGGCTTATTCGAACATTTTTTGTAAATACATTTCATTAGAATAAAATATGTTTATTATTTACAATATTTTTTAATTTTTGTGTAGAATTTTTACTTACATTACATTCTTTTAATTTTGAAGAATTTTTACTTTATTTTCTAAAGTACGATTACACTGTTTTTTCAATAAGATATTTATGTTTAACTTTAAACACTTCTAATACTAGTAACAACTGACATAAATGTTTAGTGATTCAAAGCAAAACGATATCTGCATAATTTCAAATTATTAAAAAAAAAAGAAAACCACACGTGGGTTTTGAACTCTAATCGTCTGCGTCGCAGTGTCGAATTCTTACCACTAATCCACGAAGGATTGATAATTATTCCGTGACAAGAGTGTATGAAACTCCTCAAATCATAGTAGAAAGTATGCTTGGTTAATAATTTAAAACTTTAGATTAAATAATCACTATTTATAATCAGTTTTTACTTTATGCGAAATTAAAAAATGGAAATACGTCACACGATACGACATCACACATAATAATTATGACTGAGGTGATTTAGCTCGAAGCTAATGTCTAAAGGTGTGAGACTATCAATAGTGGTAATGTAAATTATAGGTTTCTATCGATTATTTCCCACCTCTACGAGTTTCATTTCTTTTTATTTTACAAGGTAACTGTATTTTCTATCTCTTATGTTAAAAAGCCGGGTGGTAAGACACTCATCACTGTATTGTCCTTGACATGTAGCTTTTACTGTAACTACTTTATTTGCTACCAATACCTCATCATTCTTTGCAGTTCCAATTTTGACTGTGATTTGATTTGTTTTACATCTACTCAACCATTTCTTCCATTATCATAATATGTTGTGTACATCTAGATATAGAGTTGCTATGTCATACACTGCAGATAAACCAGTTCATGCGATGCAAGCTAATGCTAATTCATTTTGCTTATGCCTGTTTACCACCTTGATTTTATCTACTAACAAGGCGCTACCAAAATGGCACTACATAGTGTCTTCATTATTAGTGAACGTATAGATACATACGAGATGTCATAGGGCACTATGGATAAAAATACTTTAAAAAGACAAATTTTGATTTTTGCTCCAAGAATTTCACGGCGGATTCGTTTGTTACTAGCGGATGGAGTTAAAAAAACAACTCAAAAAGATGCTGTACGCAGCATTTTCGATTTTTCAAACCGTTTAATTAAGCAAGCTAAAACTAGAAAATTTTCAGTCAAGAGAAAAACTGTCCCAGACAAAAGTGAAAATATAAATATAACGAGTGAATCTACTACCATAAAGACTGCGGTAGAAATTCCAGAGAAAACTACCTTAGAACCTCCCTTGAAAAAGCGAAGACTTTATCTTGGTGACTTTGTTGAACAAGGATCATCTAACTGAGATCAGGAATATAAAGTGGTAGTGAAAACATTATTTCAAAAGAAAAACAAACAAATCAAAATGTTGCAACAACAGAAGGATTTTTAAAAAAGTTAATACCTTGAAATCTTTACTAGAACATCTTAAAGAAGCAGATGATCGATGAAGATTCCTACCTGAAACTTTCGGTAAGCAAAATTGTTAATACTTCATATTAGTGATCTATATAGTTTTTGGTATGTATAAGCTGTTTATTATTTTATATTGTTTGTAGTTAGTCTATGCAAAAACTATCTTTAAACAGATGCTAAAATCGAAGAGCACTAAAACATATCCACCGGAATTAAAAACCTTTACTCTCATACGCCATCTTTCTATTCGCCAAAAGCTTACTTGTATGTCAGAAAAACTTTTCCTAATATGTTGTCTCATCCAAGTGGTCTCACTCTTCAAAAGTGATATCAGGTAGTAGCTTGTGAGCCTAATTTTCAAAAAGAAGCAGTAAAGGTATTCAAACAAACAGCAGTTGAATTTAAAAGGAAAATCATGTATCTGTGCTTTGATGGTTGATGAATTGTCTATACATAAGAAAATAGAATGGGATGGTGAAAAGTTTTTAGGGTAGGTTTGATTTAGCAATTATAAAAAGTATCATAACATATATTTTTTATTTACATAATTGAAAACTTTAATTATAGGTATGTTGACATAGGAAGTAACCCTCAAAGCGATTCTTTAGAAGTCAAAGCAAAAGCATTTTATTTTTAACCACTTCTAACTACCAATAGGCTACTTTCTAATCGATGGTTTAACAGGAGTTCAAAAAAGTAATATGTTAAAATGTGTTTAAAAATAATGCACGAAGCTGCTGTCACAATCACGAGTTTAACGTTTGATGGTGCAGTATCAAATATTAGATGGCTAATCATCTTTGAGTTGATTTATTACACGATGTGGATTTTCCTGAGACCAATAAGTACGCGGGATGAATTATGACGATTTAGTACTGGAAATATCGATTCATCCGTAAAAACAATAGTGTTGAGAAAATTATCGTCATGGTTAGCCTTTTCCATTACCGTTTCACAAAACTCCATGCGTCGAATATTGTTCTCAGGAAATATGTCATGACTTTTTTTGATTTTATATGATCGATAACAATTTTTCTTCAAAACTCTTCTAACTGTAGTAGCACTTGTGCCTACTACCTCAGCAACTTCATTGCAGGACATTGTAGGATTTTCATTGATACACACACAAATCATCACTTGTTTCTGTTCCTGATTTTGATCAAAAACAGGATCACGCTTGTGACTGCGAGGGTTAACGCATCCCTGACTTTCAAAATTATTTACTACACGCGATACCGTTTTTAATGCAGGAGTTGGACGGTCTTCAAATGCACCGGCAAATAATTCCTGAATTTGTCGAAGCGTATTACCTTGGTAATACTATTTGACAATTTGAACTTTGTCCGCAGCTGAATATTCCATAATTAAAAATGTATTTTTTTGAATGGAAAAACAATTCTGAATAGTTTCGCTACCCACTTGATTCTCCGCAGAAATCAGTCATAAATGAAATGCCATGCGCCGCTATCTGTGATCGACGACGGCTGAAGTCACATGTGAGAGCGGGCCGGATTAGCCCATTGGATATTATTATGCTTACTGTATAAGCATTATGTACAGTAAAAAACTGTACATAAATTAAATAATCATCATCAATCAGCCAATCGCGCCACTGCTGGACATAGGCCTCCCTCAGTTCTTTCCAGTGTTCCCTACACTGGGCCGCTTGTAGCCAGTTTCCCGCTACACGTTTTATATCATCGGTCCATCTAGTCGGTGGTCGTCCTCGGCTTCTTTTATAGTTTCTGGGCCTCCATTCCATAATACGTCTTGTCCATCTTGTGTTCTGGCTAAGTGCCCTGCCCAGTTCCACTTAAGCGTCGTGGTTCTTTCGATGATGTCTTGAACTCTTGATCTTTGCCGGATTTGTTGGTTTGTTATGTGGTCTCGAAGGCTCACGTTCAGCATTGCACGTTCCATGGCTCGTTGTGTAACTCTGAGTTTATTCGCAGATTTTTGCGCGAGTGTTAAAGTCTCTGCTCCAAGTTTGTACAGGCAAAACACATTGGTTATAAACCTTTCGCTTGAGACACATGGGAATTGAACTTTTTAGAATATGGCTTAATTTGCCAAATGCTGCCCATGTTAGGCCTATTCGCCTCTGTATTTCATGTGTTTGATTGTCTCTGCTTATTTTGATTTCATGTCCCAGATATTTGTAAGTGTCTGTTTGTTGTAGGGTATTATTGTCAATAGTTATATTTCCACTCATTACGAGATTTGTTATAAGTTTAGTTTTCTCAAAGTTTATCTTTAATCCTGCTCTTTCAGACAGACTTTTAAGCGAATGCATCATAGAAACTGTATCATGTAAGTTATCTGCGATTAATACAACATCATCTGCAAACCTTAGGTGATTTAATCTTTCTCCATCTATATTGATGCCCATATCTTGCCATTGAGTGCTCTTAAATATTGACTCTAGAGCTGCCGTGAACAATTTTGGTGAAATATTGTCTCCTTGTTTAACTCCTCGACCTAAGCTGAATTTTTCTGTGTCTTCGTGTAGTCGTATACTTGATGTAGCGTTCTCGTAGATGTTTTTGATTAGTGTCGTGTACCTGTAATCTATTCGGGTTTGATTTAGGGCTTCCAGTATTGTTTCAAACTCTACAGAATCAAAAGCTTTCTCGTAATCGACAAATGCAAGAACCAGTGGTATGTTGTACTCGATGCACTTTTCTGTTAAGATCTTTATGGTATGCAAATGGTCATTTGTGCCATATCCTGCCCTGAAGCCTGCCTGTTCTTTGGGCTGATAGAAATCAAGTTTAGGTGTTAGCCTCTTTGTTAAGATTTTCATAAAGAGTTTGTACATATGTGTCAGGAGGCTGATGGGTCTATAATTTTCTAATTTAGTAATATCGCCTTTTTTGTGTAACAAGACTATTACTGCATTGTTCCAGTCTTTTGGAATCTCACCCGCATGTAAGCATTTATTAAACAGTTCGCTTACTGATTTTAATAAAATTTCTCCTCCTGCTTTTATTGCCTCGATAACGAGTCCATCATCACCAGGTGATCGATGGTTCTTCGTTTCCTTTAAAGCTGCTCTTACTTCTGACACAGTAATGGGTAAAAGTATTTCCGATCCCTGATTTATGAGAGTCTTTACTCGTGTCGGGAAAGTGTCTTGTGGTCTTTGGACGGCGTAGAGGTCTTTATAAAACTCTCTGGTTATTTTCAGAATGTTTTGTTTATCTGTTGTTGCCTTTCCGTCTTTATCTCTCAGCTTGTATATTTCTTTTTTACTTTGTGTGAGTTTTCTTTTCATTATCTTTAAACCTTTGTTCTCTTTTATTTAAATAATAAAGATAAAATAAATAAGTATTTAGAACATTCTAATAATAAATTAAAAGACTGTAAATGAAAACATTACAGTACCATTAAAAATTAAGAACTATTTACTTCCACCGATTCTAATATTGCAGTTTCTCCGTTGTGTGGACAAATGTGTTTTTTCAATTGAGTTTTTGTTCTAAATGCATTGGGACAAGTGTGACACTTAAATGGTGTGTCACCGGAGTGGTTCAGCATATGCGTCTTTAAATTCTCATTTGATGTATACTGTTTAGAACAGAGGTTGCATTTGAAGGGTTTCTCTCCACTGTGTACACGCATGTGGTTCTTCAGTTGACAGTTGTATGTAAACTTCTTCGAGCAGATTGTGCATGAAAAAGGTCTTTTTCCATTATGTACGAGCATATGCTGCTGCAAAAGCGGCTTTTTTCTAAAAGATTTCGTGCAAATATCACAGCTGAAGGATTTTTCTTCTGTTTCTTTAGTTTTTTCACGTATAGGTTTTGCTGGAGCAGGTTTGAGATCTACGGGTAAACCGTGTTTCTTCATATGCTTTTTCAATCTAGAATTATATGCAAATTGTTTAGAGCATATTTCACATTTTAAAAGATTTTCTCCAGTGTGCAAACACATATGTTTCTTCAACATACACTTCAAGGAAAACTGTTTAGAACACACTGAGCAAGAAAAAGGTTTTTTTCCGCCGTGAACGTAGGCATGTTGCTGCAATTGACAGTTTTGTCTAAAAGATTTGAAACATATATCACATTTGAATGGTTTTTCGCCTGTGTGTATGAGCATATGTTTGGTTAAGTTACAGTTTTGCGTAAATACCTTGAAACATATGTCACATTCGTAACGTTTCTCACCATTATGTACACGCTGATGACGTTTTAGTGCATCTTCTGTCGGAAAACTTCGCGAACATAATGTACAAATCAGTGGATTATCACCATTATGTAGATTCATATGTTTCTTGAGTAAACAGTTCAATATGAACTGTTTGGAGCAGAGCGGGCAGGAAAAAGGTCTTTCTGTGCGATGTATGTAAGAGTGTATTTTCAATTGACCCTTTTTTCTAAAAGTCTTGGAGCAAATATCACATTGGAAAGGTTTATGGTCAGTGTGTATCGGTAAATGCTTATTCAAGTCACACTTCCGAGCAAAAATCCTAAAACATACATCACATTGGACAGAATTTTGTATATTATGTACTTTCATATGTTGTTTCATCTTACTTTTACTCGTACATCTTCTTAAACATATCGTACAAGTTGAAGGGCCGTTTTCAGCGTGTTGGCGTAAATGCTTCTTAAGTCTAAAATTATGAGTAAAGAGTTTAAAGCATATATTACATTTAAACAATTTTTTTCCTGTATGGACTCCCATATGCGCTTCCAGAGCCCATTTTCCTGAATACTGCATTGGACAAATTGAACATTTATATGGTTTTTCTCCAGTGTGCTTACCCATATGAATGGCCAACTGCTTGCTAGTTACGTATTTCTTAAAGCAATATTCGCACTCTAAACTTTTTTCTCTTGTGGGTTCACAGAGGTGTTTTTTGAAGTATGATTCGGCATGGAAGCCTCTACAACATACTTCACATTGAACTCTGCATTCTTCCGTGTGCCAAATCAAATGTGACTTCCTGTGAGCTTTGTTATACTTTCGCAAGCACACATTACAACTATATGAACGTTCAATTTTATCAAACGTGTAGATCTTTTCGTAATAGGATTCCAGTAATTCTTCTTTATTTTTCTTTCGCAGAGATTCAAAGGACAAGGTTTCTGAGTCATGCGTGATTGTCTTCTTTTTCTGGGTTTTCTTTATATAATGGTAGATGTAGAAGTGACAAAAAAGCTTTGACATTCCTATACAAATTTCTCCACAGATAATACAGGTGCATATATTATTTTTTCTTGTATTTACATGGGTTAACCCTAAAATTAAAATAAAATGTTAATCTTTAATTCTACAATCTGTTTTAAAAACGATACCAATTATTTTGGAAGTTAGTTAGAGGGCAGTAGTATTTTTCAGCGTTCTTGACCTAAGATCAAGATAGCTTTAGACCAAAACAAAGTAGAGAAGCAAGTACTGGCTGTAACTACATATATGGAAGGAGGATTCAGTTGTGCAAAAATACTGGTGCTGCCTTTATAGACCTTCTAACAGTGTACGAAATAGTATGACAACATGGACTATTCCATTTAATTTTTCGCTAGGTTCTTCCACAAAATATTGAGTTTAATTCTACACCAGAATATTGAGTTTAATTATACCCCAAAATACTTAGGTATCAGCTTGAACCACACACTTTCATATAATAAAAACCTGCCCAATTTAACATCCAAATTTCACACAGAATAATATCGTACAAAAGTGTGTTGAATTGACCTAAGGAGCTGGGCTGAGGAATAACATTAGATAAGAGAAGTCGTTCTGATGGGGTGATAGTCTATGTGCTAGAGGTACTTCATTATTTATTTTTATGGATCCTGTTTTATTGAGAAAGCCATTAACTAGAGCTTTAATGGAAAGATAAATTCATACTCAGTTATTAGAGATTCTTGATGAATAAATAATATTTTTTGGTTAAATGAGTTGCAATAATCTTGCAATTTTGTGCCATTAATTGAACTGAAGATGGTGGCTTGTTCATTTAGCTGAAATTTTGGACTGGTTAGTTAATTGTTGCTGATAAAGAACCAGTCTGGTGTTGTGTTGATTTGATGATTTTATTTAGATCGTTTTCCAAAATAAATATATTATTTCAATCTAATTAATGTTTATTTACATTAGTTTTTATGTCTTCTTATAAAACTAACTTTATTAAATAGGTATATCACTTTTGTTGATTTACTATGGTGAAAATACAAGTATAAATTGTAAATCTAAATAAATTCTTGATTGTAAAGATGAAAAGTTTTCAACCTGGTTAAATAAAAGTTCTCTCTGATAGTCTCAAGGCTCCCACCTAGGACCTCTTCTATTTAGTATTTTTGATAATGATATTGGTGATTGTTTCCAGTATAGTAAGTTACGCATAATCTGCATTTTGCAGATGATGGATAAATATGGATGACTGTTTATTACTTCAGTCTGACTTAAAGATTTTTGTTGACTAATGTGAGGTAAATGATATGGTTTCCAGAGCTTTGAGATTATTGGGTTTTATTAAGAGATTTTTCTAGAGATTTTAATAACATTTATGCAGTCTGTCTTTATTGTCCCCTTGTTAGACCCATGTTGGATTATCCTTCTTTGGTCTGGAATCAATACTATGCATGCTACATCTACAAAATGAACAAGTACAAGGAAAATTTTTGAGGTACCTAGCCTTTGAAACAAATATTTATCATATTGATGAATATACAGTGGAGACCTCGATTATCCGTCAGGGCACCGGACCAAGGGTATGACGGATAATCGAAAAGACGGTTACAGAACATTAAAAAAAAATTCATTGTATAACTCTCAATTTTATTTGTATGTTTTATTTGACAATATAAGAGGGATTTATGTATAGTAACGGTCGAATCTATTTGATTTAAATTATTCCAAAATCTTTGTTAGTTACTTCAACAGTTTGCAACGGCTGAATTTCTTAATCGACGTAAATCATCAAAATCTACCTTATTTGCTTATTACTTACCGAGAATATCCCTTGATGGATTGTTTTATGTGCGATGCAGCTCCTATAGCTGCATTACGCAAATCTTTGTGAGTTTTAATAGCCATCATCAACCTCGCCACCATCAAAGTCTCTGTCAGCTTCTGAATCAGTTTTGTCCGCCTCTGTTGCCATTTCAAACGATTTGATCATCTGTCAGCAATCAATAGCCGTTTGCGTCCTCATCACAAATTAATCATTCGTTTATGTCATCTTTATTGCCAACGAAAACAAAACAGTTGATTCATTTAAGGGAAGCATTTTTCATCTTAAGTTGATTCAGATCATAATTTATTTCACGCTCTTTTCATATGTTACTTTCGAAACATCAGCCCAAGCATTGTCGACTGAGTGTTTTAAATTGCATGGTTTCCAGTATTTGGCAAATAATATTACTCTTCCATAACTAGCTTTTTGAATAAATTTTTTTCTGTATCTTCTTTTGAATGTTTTAATAACCGAATGATCCATTGGCTGTATCAATGATATTATATTCGCATGACAGAAAAGAGTAAGTGATTATTTTATCATCACTCCGCAGCATACCGGCTTTAGGATGGACAGGTGCATGTCTAAAATGAAAATTGTCTTTGGTGGAAATTTTTTTGCAAACAAAATGATTTGATGACTAAATTTTTACTTATGTTGTCAATATAACTATGTATGGACAGTGGACGGTTAACAGAGGAGACGGGTTAAACAGAGAGAACGGATAATCGAGGTTCCACTGTAATGATGACCTCCATTTTCTCCACAATAAATTTCAACTCTAATCACTTAAAACCAGAAAAATCATGGTGATCTGGAAAGTCTTTGTAATATATTACATTCAATTGTTGACAGTCTATATCTTTTGAGTAGGATTAATATATTGATTCTGATTATTAATGATTTTACCTTCTGTTTTTATGACATGCTATGTATATTTATGTTATTTTAAAAATTTTGTGGAATAATCAGTAATGCCCTACCACTATGATCAAGCGAAACCATATGCAGTGGGCAAAACATGTAGCTCAGGCCCCAGAATAAATATGATAAGAAAGATTTTAACAGTACAGCCAGTAGGAATAAGTAGATTGGGCAGACAAAAGTTAAGGTGGAAAGATAGGGTAACAAAGGATGCTAAGAAGATCAGTATTGCCAATGGGAAAATTCTAGCAAGGGACATAGCAGAATGGTGAAGAACACTTGAGAAGATTGAGGCCCTTTAAGGGCTGCAGAACTGTGATAATGATAAATCAGTAAATCCAATATATAAATACGTTATTATTAAATTTGATAAATCCTTTAAAAATAGTATGATTTGTCAGTCACTATATGTTATAAGGATAAAGAAAAGTATTTGAAAAACGGATCTAGCATGTACATAACTAGTGAATAATGGAGGATATTGATATTACTATTAGAACAGATTGTATGTGCTATACACCATTTATTAGAATTGTCTGCCACTCATTTTGGTAGTTACCTACTACCTGCACAAAAGATGTTACAGCTGAACCAAGAGTGGAGGGAAGTTGTAACCTAGCACTTGTTTCACAAATTTTTCACAGCTAATACGATACAGTTGTTTGAGTAACTAATCATAATTAATATTCCACAGTCTTTTTGACTTTGTGGTTATTTGTATTGAATATGTTTTGTAATTTAAAATTTTTGTCAGTCATGCAAATAAATATATCATTATATATTGGTATTCTTAAAAACTGTTACAAGCCCCTCTAATCCCTAAAATGTCAAGAAAGCTGAAATAAACTACATTATGAGTAGACATTTACATTTCAAAAATATTACCCACATATTTAATGTATTGTTATATAAATATGTAGTATTTACTACTTACATTTTTTTATATGGACATAAGATATTGTAAACTTTCTTTTTCTTTTTTTAACTCCATTCTCAACTAACGTTTTAGATAAAGTGTACTCCTTGGTCTGTTCAGCTTTAAAATCGCCAAGGTCTATACATGTATTCAAATAATAGTTTTCAAAGGGATAGTATTGGTTAATGTTCAGTCCTGCTTCACAATTTATTTCGGTCTTTTGTTCAACTTTTGGAAACTTAAACGTTGCTCCAGAAGCTTCACTAATTGTATCTGCATATTCAGACTTAACGTCTTGTGAATATGTCGACTCCAACACATTCTCCTCCTTAATTTCAAGTTTCATGTCTTCTAAAGAGGATATTTGACAAGTCCCAGCATAGATTAATTTAGAGTTCTCCATGGGAATGTTATTTGAAAAATTCTGTTAAGTATCATCAAATTAGAAACAAAGTGTTAACTGTTATACTGCTTATGCTGTTCTTTATTTATTTTCTTTTCTGACAGTGACAGATACTGAGACACCATACAGGAGGGGGGATTGAATTGCTGGGCCCAGTCGTTCATAATGGTGACGACGCTATTGTCTATTCGCTTAGCTAGGGCATATTTTGACAGACTCATTGTAGGAAACCTACAACACAACAATTCCTACTTCTCAGTATAAATAGCTCAAGTATACTACTATTGCAGACCTCTTTCTTTGAAAAAAAGAAGAATTATTCTAAATAGTGGAAGTGTATACTAAACCATCAAATTTTCCCTGTATATTTAAAATATAATATTTGAATTGTTACAATTTAAAATATTGTAGTAAATATTTGTATTATTCGCGTTGTTTATTTAATTTAATATTGTTTTATTATCTTTGTTTAATTCTTTTGTTAGTTCTATTCAGTTAATTAGTTAGTTATATTTTAAATTTTATTATTATGGATAGTCAAAGTTTTCCATTTGTTCCATCAGCTAATGCGTTGGTAAGTTTTTCTTAATAAATATTATAAAATGTTTTTTAAAAAGTTTTTTTTTAAATTAATATTTTTAGATTAGTAAGGATGCTGTTCCTAGATTACAAGGTAATAAAACTGCACAAAGGTTTATTCAAAATGCCTACCATTTTTTTTACCGAATGAAAACCCTGTTGAGGTAAGTTGATCATTAAAATGTATTTATCGAATTATGTAAATGTTGTAAATACATAAGGAACTTGCTGTGTCTTATTCTTATTTAACCTAACTTTGACTTCTTAATTTTGTAGAATTTATTCCCACTTTTTTATTTTGTACAATAAATAATTTTATTATTTGTTATCAATACATTATACGGTGTAAATAAATAAATATTGATTGTCGGCAAAGTTCTATTTTATTTACTTTTGTTTACATTAATATTGACTAAGAGCACGTATGCTTGGTTGTATAGTATTTTCCAGCCACTTCGAGTCTGTCAAAAAGTTACTAACTTCGAAAAAAAATAATTACTAAAATCACTAGACAGTTCGGACTGGGAATAGCGAACCGGGTATACTAATGTCATATCGGGTGGAAGTATGACATAGCAAGAGGTAAATGACGTCGACGAGTAAGTGTTGTTGCCATGTTTCACTAGTTTGCACATGGAGTTAGAATATGGTTAGAATAATTCGATGAGTTTGCATCATAGAAAAATAGTATGGTTTGCATATTTACCCAAATAATAATTATACTATACAATGTTTTCGAAAAAAAAAAAGAAAACAAAAAATATAAAACTTAAATTAGAAGCGAAATCTTTTTCTAATCAAAGTATTTATTTTAGGGACTGACTGTATATTCATTCCCCATCGGAAACGGATAAATTCGTCACCAACAAAGAATGATTTCACATTTTTTCTACTTAAAAAGGCCAAACTGATAAAACTTATTTTTACATTGTATTTACAGGTCCGTCGTATTTCTTTGTATTGAAAAAGACTGTAAAACTTGTACACACTTCTAAATAGGTCTAACTGGTAAGCAGGTTTTTGTATGTTTTCAATAAAATTGATAGTGTGTAAATTAATTTATTAATTAAGCTAAGTATACTTTCGACATAATAAATGTCATCATCAGAGCTATCGTCAATTAGGCAATAAATACTTCATAGAAGGAAAATTGTGGACAAACGACATATTACAAATCAAAGATCGGGCTCTGTAGGCCACAGATAAGGGTTTAGACCCAAGATCTGTGGCCTACAGAGCCCGATCTTTGATTTTTAATATGTCGTTTGTCCACAATTTTCCTTCTATGAAGTATTTATTGCCTAATTGACGATAGCTCTGATGATGACATTTATTATGTCGAAAGTATACTTAGCTTAATTAATAAATTAATTTACACACTATCAATTTTATTGAAAACATACAAAACCTGCTTACCAGTTAGACGTATTTCTTTGTTACACAAAGATTGTAGCAAATTCTACTAAAATCACCACCAAAATTTACAATAACTCATTACAAGTTTGAGTATTCACCGAAAAAAAGTGTTATAGTGGCATCCACAAATGGCGTTTCAAAAAAATTGGATATTCCAAATTTTAGAAATAGGCGATAAAAATAGTATTCATTAATTTTTATATAGGTACTATTTTGTAAATGTAAGTTGCTCATTACTACTTCTCGTAGGGTTACCAGGTCTACTCATTTTTCAGTAGATCTACTGATTTCAACCTTAATTTACTGAAATACTATATCGATCTACTAAAAAATATGTAATGATAAAATTATATTAAAAAAATGATCAATATGATAGTGTTTAATTATAAATTTTGAAAAAAATCTACTTATATAGATCCTTCTTCTTCTTCGGGTTCCTTCTCCTAGCGGAGGTTGGAAATCATCATCGCTATTTTAACTTTGTGTGGCCGCATTTCTGAATAATTCTAATGAGCTGCAGCCGAACCACTCATCTCAAATTTCTTAGCCATGGAACATTTTGCGTCGTCCTGGGTTTCTCTTCCTTGTATAATCATACCTCAGTAATACGTACTTCTCACCCCTCATTAAATGTCCCAGATATTGAATCTTTCTATTTTTTAAGATATAGATTAAGTATTTATATAGATCCATTATTCTCAATTTACTGAAGAAATAAAACATGACCTGGCAACTTTTTTGATGCCAATTTAGGCTTGTCAATTCCATACAATTACGCGTCCTCCCTCTTTCCTTATCTAAGAGTCCGACGTTAATTTTCTGTACCATCATGACAAGTTATCCCTGCAGGGGAGGGTCCATGGACGGCTAAAAGTGTTCGTTTAAATATTAAATTGTGAAAGAATGGTGGGTGATACAGCAATTTTAATATGATTTTCGGACTCAGCACACTAAAATACATAAGATAGATAAAAAACTTCCTAGATCAATGTGTAACCTCGGAAACCTTTTTTGGGTGGTGTTAGAAAGGTCACCAATGTAGACACTGCGGATGGCAGCCAGATGGTTGGTGGAGAGCGACTCGTGGGTTCGAAAGCTTTTGGAACCGGGAATGGGTCCAACGGACGAAATAAGTGAAGATAGAACAGGATACGATATACTAGAAAATATAAGAAATAAACAAAAAGATAGATGGGTAAAATTTTTTTGGGATTTAAGGCGAAAGTTAAGAAACCTTAGAAACAAAAAGAGATAAGGAAATATATTTAGGATCTGAGACCAAATTCAAGGAAAGGTATCAACAGTTAATTATTTAATAAATTGGGTCAACACACTACCCACACAAATAATAAATATATTAGGTGGAGTCCATCCACCTACTTACCTACGAAACTTAACACCCTGATCTTTCTTCTGGTCGAAGGTATATTAATAATTAAATATAAAAAGCAAATATTCAGAGGTATTATTTTATCAGGAAACTTATTAGGAGTCGGGAAATAAAATTCACGCATAAAACAAAACAATATATTCAACAACACGAGTAAATTTTGATAAATCTGATGATTTTCAATTTGAATGTAAACATAAGTAAAAAAATGCACCATCAATTATTCAATGGTGGTATACATATAGAAATAAACAGTATTATGATTGAGATATAACTTTACAAATACAATATAACAAAATCATGCACAGATTAAATTATCAGCGAAGAGAGCTTGGTAATACTTAAAAAAATTCACTAAAGCTGAATAAACAAATCTCTCTGCTGTTTATGGGCTTATCTCGAGATAACGGGTAGAGTAAATGTAAAAAAATAAATAGCAAATAAAACAAAGTAAATTAAGGTTAAATTAAAAGAATACAACAATTGACTGTTCTTACTGAGAATCAAATGCTCGTAATTATTATTTATTAGAAGTTCTTAATAGCTGATTGAAAGTTCGTATGAAAGAATTAAATGTTCTTTTAATTGAATGCTAAATCAGTAATTAACCTTAACTACAAGTGATGAAATGGTTGAACGCATATTCGCCCAGATAATTGAAGGTAATATGATTACGATAAGTATCGATGACTGCTGCACTACACTGATTTTACATACTATACTTCTATCAAAGCACTGAAGTCATTTAAAATAAAGGTAGATTCTTTATAACCATATTTAATCTAATATGGTATTAGATTTAGAAACTCAAATATTTAAGTGTAGGTATACACACTTAAAAAAAATTCACAGGGACAGTAAGATAAGCAAGGGTCTCTACTTAAAGACTACCCTGCCAGAAATAATGTTCTTCCTATAAAAATTTGTATTTATTGCATGTATTTCCCGGAAGGTAAAAAGATTCTAACGAACATCGGAAGGTTCGAGGTTAATAAAGGTACTAGTAATTAGAAACGCGAGTAACATAAAACTTTCTGAATTACGTTCTCTCAGAAAAATACTATATAAGTGCTTTTCACAACTTGATTTACCAAAGTTCAAACATAACCTGCCTGAAACCGGAAAAGGAGTAGCTAAGCCCTACAATAAAGTATACTACTTCGGCGTCTTTAATAAGTCGGACCTTCCGTACTTTGAGATAGTCGGTAGATTCCAATAAAATTTCCTAATGGTAAACACGACCACCCGTGTATATATTATTTGCAAATACGGCCATCGGCGTCTCAGCAACAGGGGTAAAGGATTAAAAATTATTTAATATTTTAATTATATAAATAAATGTTACAAATGTTTAAATTTGTTTAATGGCTAATAATATGGCTTACAAAAGAGGGTTCAGTAGGCGGTACTGCAGACTAGCGCGAAGCTTTATATTAATTAACTAAATTGCTGTTTTTACTATTCTCTTTACAATATCTTAATATTTTCAATCTAATTTCTATTCAGCAGCAATTTTTGTAGGTGTATATTTTTTTACGCTTTATCGCATTCGTTGGTAAGATCTTAGTTACGCTTCCTCTACAAAAAATTATGAAACATTTCAAAAATCAAAATAACAAATTATGGTCAGTTTTGACATTTTGTATAGATACCTAACGGCCATCGCCTCATTAGATACACAAATGGACTCTTCCACTGTGACTGTATGAATATGTATACA